GACTGCTTCTCTCCATCTTCAGTTGGTTTGGTTGTATGTATTCTTCTATTTTTCCTTTCATTTGCATTGCAGAAATCTAGTATGTCTGAATACTAACAAATGTTTCCTTACCTTCAGCTCAGATCTAACTCTCTAATTGTCTACCCACTCATTGATTTTTGCTATTGCATCCAAACACACACACACACACACACAAAGACCTGCATCCATCTAACATGTATCCTGCTGGGCCACCCACAAGATTTTCAGGAAAAAAATCACAGCTGGGTTCACAGAGCCCAGAATGCAGCCATCCTACAGCACCCAGCCCCAGGGCTCCATCTGGTTACTCCTCTTCCACACTCTGCTCCATGTGCTCACTGTCACCTTCAGACAGCCCCCTGGGAGGGCCTCCAGGGCCAGGCCTGACCTTCCGTAAGCAGGGCTGGAGCAGCGCCAGCCGCCCCCTGAGGTTGGCTGGCATCAGGCATCTGGCCCTTTTATCACTCTGTGTTTCTACTCTGATAAGATATTCCTGAGCTCTGCACCCTCTTCTCGGCCCTCATTCTGGTGCCTGAGTTCTTATTTTATCCTCTAGAGATTTGGAGTTCTTGTCTTAAAAATGACTTACAATTGTCTCTGTGATCCATGAATCAGTCCTAGGTCCAGGATCCTGTCCCCAGCTGGGGGACTGGGTTTCTCTCCTCCAGACCAGGGTCCTTAATGCCCAGAGCCTGTGGGCCCCCTCAGCTCCTTGGCCACCCCTGCCCCTGGGCTCATAGCCCCTGCTCCCCATGGCCACCAGCCTTCTTATTCTAGTGGGCAGCCCCAGTGTCAGGCCCTGCCTCGGTTCAGAGAACTCATCCCAGAAGGCTCGTCTCCAAGAAGGTGCAACACAATGTTCCCCTGTCCTGTTCCCAAGACAGGATTCAAATGACCCCACGCCGGGAAGGAATTCAGAGGCTCTGATAGAAAACAAGTTAGCCCCACCCCACCCCCACCATATCAGCTTCTTTACCAAATACTCCTCTGTGAATAGCACAACACCTATGGTTCAGTGCACTTTTAAATCTATCATTTGCTCTGTATAAGGGCCAGTGAGATAAATGCATCCAGTATTAGAATTAAATGACAGATTAAAAAACTGAGGTCAAAAAGCACAATGGACCTGCCAAAGACTGTGCAGCTATTTGGGAAGAGCCAGGGCCTGAACTGTCTTTTTACCCCAGGCCAGTACGTTTGTCCACCATGTTACATCAGGGGGTCAGGCCTGTGGGTAGCATATGGCTGAGAATCTCAGGGTTGGAGAATCTCAGAATCCCAGAGTTACATCTAATCTAGGTTGACCATGTAATCCAGTGACTTTAAGTGCCATCTAGGCTGATGTCCTCACGCTGGGAACCCCTGAGGAAAGCCCTGCCACGTGGTCAGCTGGCCTCTGCTCCAAGAGCCACCATGGCCACACGTTCCCCCTGTAAGTCTGACACCAGCTCAAGGGCTGTGCTTCTCTCGGCGGCAACTTTGGCCACATCCGGGGAGAAGGACTGCTTCTCTCCATCTTCAGTTGGTTTGGTTGTATGTATTCTTCTATTTTTCCTTTCATTTGCATTGCAGAAATCTAGTATGTCTGAATACTAACAAATGTTTCCTTACCTTCAGCTCAGATCTAACTCTCTAATTGTCTACCCACTCATTGATTTTTGCTATTGCATCCAAACACACACACACACACACACACACACAGCACATGGATCTCTCTTCTCCATAACACTGGTCTAAGGATTTGCCCCAGCATCACCTCCTTTTTGTGCTAAACAGCCCCGGCTCCCTTTATCCTTCCTCCAGTGGGAGGATTTCCCTGTCTTTGTTGTTCTAAGCCTCCTCTCGCACCGTCTCACAGCGGGGCAGATGATGCGACCGCGGCCACCTCCCATCCAGCCTCTAGTCTCGGCAAGAAGGTGGCCACGCCGAGGCCTGCTGGTCCTGTGAGAACACGGTGGGTCTAGAATGCCCCTCATGCCTTCATCTTACAGAAGGATCTGGAAGAGCATGATATAGAACAGAGATCCTAAAACACACTAACCAACAAGAACTGGAACTGGTTTTGTGCCAGCGGCTCTGCCAACCATCTCAGCAATTCGAGTAGCATGCACCCATCTGGAGAAGACAACTCGATTAACGGATTCTGTGGATACCCAGCTGATCCTGGATCAAAGCACTTCTTGAGGAGGCGGAGAGGCAATGATTCATAGGTACCAGTTGTTCACCCTCACCAGGTGGAGTACATGGGGGAGGCGGTGATGTGTGCTTCAATTATTCCTAGCCAGGAATCACCACAGGTCAAGGCCTGTAATTCTTGGAGGGGCAGCTTACAGAGCTTACCTAAGCAGGGGAATTGCTTTTTTCTGGCAGCTTGATTCAGTTGTCTGGGTTTTATATGTCCTTTTTTCCCTTTTGTTTCCACTACAGAGGTAATTTCTAGCCAACCTGGCTGATTAGGCAGAGCCGTTCCTAGACGTGCACAGGGCGGCCACAGCTTAGAGGGTGAGGTCCTTCCGGAACGGTCTCTGGGCTTGGCTGCTGGGAAAGACGGCAGGCAGTCCCGACTCACAGGGGCTGGAGGGGATGCGCTCAGGGGCTCAGGAAGCCCACGGCCTGGGGATTCATGGCTGCTGCCTCCCAGGTACTTGCACTAGCTGAATTCGTGCTTCAGACCAAGCCTCAACCTGTATCCTTGCTCTGGATTTGTTCCTTATGCCTAGCTGCCAGCCCACCACTCTGGTCTTAAATGACGGTGTCCTGCCCTGCTCTTAACAGCCTTTCCCTCCCCAGAACTATAACCAGACCCTGGTACCCGCTGGCAGACTTTCTGATGTCAGGTCCCTGCTGAAGTGCCTGCAAGATCTCTGTACCCCAGACTTCCCATTGCTCGGTTCCACCCTCTTCAGGTCCCCAAACTCTTATTCCGCACCACACTTCCCAATGCCTACCCTTTGCTTATATTCGTACCTAATGACTCACTTCCCTCTATTGGGATACATTGCTTACTCTGCACCCTGCTAGCAGCTGAGTTGACACCAATCCAAGCCCAGGGAACAATTTAGCTTCCCAAGCCCTCCAAAGCTGTCTGGTGTTGTCACTTTCTTTCTGCTCAAAGCAGCTTTAGAGAGAATGGATGGAAGGGTAAGCTGCAGAAGGATAATGTGCAGGCTGGGACCCCCAAGCTAGGGGAGTGCTGGCTAAAGTCACCTTGAATCTGTTTCCCCAGCCCAAGTCACCCACTGCTAGTGCTACTTACCCCTACCCAAGCCTGTTCCCTTCTCGCCTCACTAGGAACCTGATTTCTGTCCCATTGACGACTGGGCCAACTCTAGACACCAAGACAGTCATTAAGTAAAGGCTGCAATATAATTGCTTTTGCTTTTTCCTCTGGAATGTATTGGTGGCACTAACAAATCACCTGCCCAGTACATTTACCAGCTCTAAGTATATTTGAATTCAGCGAAACAAACTAGTGCTTGGTTATCTTGAGGATGTATTTAAATTCACAAAGAACTATTCTTGCCATGTGGCAATTTTTTTTTCCAGAAATAATAACTCTTCCCTTTGCTAATTGATGTGTTAAACAAAGATACAGCTTCTCCTCTTCCATCATTACCTCCAGAATTAAACTAAACAGCAATCCTCGGCTGAGGCAGAAAGAACAAATGGGCTAGTTACTCATTTACAGAAAAAAAAGGTGAAAATTTTCCAGTGACTGTTCCTTTGAGGGGTTTATTTTAAGAGATGTGATGGGGAGTAGGTTACAAGGTGAGTATCCAACCTTTCAGAGAACAAGAATCAGGAATTTCAACCAAATGGCTCATTACCAAATGCCAAAACTCAGAGTGCGCCCCGGAGAAGCTGAGCTTGTCTGCAGGTTTCACGGGTTTTACAACCCCATCCTCTATACGAATGTCATAGCCACCTTTACAGAAACATATTCTTTAGTTAAACTAAGCAGAAAAATATAGTAAAAAGACTCCTTGCTATTCTCCAGGTGAAAGAAGATAATTTTCTTAAGAAAAACATGGGTGAGGATAAAAGCCACGTGTTGCTTTCAGACTCTCTCCAATTTTCAAAATACCATTTGAAAATAATTACACCCACAATTTATGCACGATTCATTAGACAGAAAGATAAAATGCACTGCTAAATTGTAATCGCATTGAAAGAGCAGACATCATGAAATATGTCCCCAGCTTCTTGGATTTAAAACCCAGTCTGGAACATGTTTGCCACAATGTAAACCTTGTCCAAATTGTCTGTCTTGATTAAATGATGACAATATTTTTTTAGTTTCCTGATTTGAGAGACTTCTGAAAAATTGTTTTCAGTCAAGCAATTAGGTCAAATGATCTTTTATCAGTATTTAAGCCTTTTATTATGAAAGTGAATTGGTGTGAAGCCCAGGATTCCATACAAAGATAATAGGAATGTCATCTCAGAAGGGAAAAAAAGAAAAAAAAATCAACAGGTCAGTTTCTGCAAAGGAAAGTGTCAAGACTATTGCTTTCCTTGTCCCCAGCCTCACTAAGACAAGGACAGTATGAGACCCTGCACTGTTATGTAGGCAGAAATGTTGAATGTACCTACTGTATATAGTACGCTACCCATGAGCCAAACTGATTCCAGGCTGATGCAGGGGAACAACAGCTTGCATGACATAAGAGATGCAATCTCTTACATAATGAATAATAAACCTGATAGACAACACCTTGCAGGATCTAAGCAGCCTTTCAGAAGATGCAACCTGTTGAGTTACTAATCAGAAGAAGCCAGGTTGAGCAAATGAGCACCTGTAATTGCATTTAATGGCCTTCTGAAAGCAAGGACTGTGGGGCCACCTGCCTACCCTTTGAGGCCATGAGGACATCTCCCATGAGGCTGGATTCTGGCAGCCTCTTCTGAAGAGGTGCAGGGTTAATGAGACAGACAGTGTCTGGGCGCCACTCACCCACCGTCATTGTTCACACACATACCTGTGGTCTTCAGTGGGGTTTTCTCTCCTAGCAATAGTTTTAACCTTTTGGCATGGATTTTGCCTTGATAATGGGAGTCCGCCACCACTGCGGAGGTGAAGGACATGTTACACAGTGTGCAGCACTTGTTCTTGTCGACCATGTCTGCGTCGCTTCCCTGCGAGGGCAGAAGGAGAGAACAAACGTGAGAGACAACCCCAAGTCCTCAAATGTCTTGTTTCCCATTCCATCCCATTGCAAATGGGACTTGCCACAGGCTTTCTGATTGAAAGGTCTATTTTTTACTCCACCATCTCTTTTCCCTCATCATCACAACTTTGTCAGTTACTGACTTCAACCTGCATTTAATGAGGGGCTACTACCTCTGGGTACATACAGATGTGCAGATTCAACTTACACAAAGAAAAATGGGGCCCACAATTATGGTAGAGCACATTGTGTCTGGCACCATGAGGAAAATAGAATGTGATTATACCCATTATATTCCTTAAAGCAAGTAAAAGATCTGAGGTCAGATGACCTGCATTATTTAGCAGAAATTAGCAGTTGGCATTCAGCTCTGCCTTTCACCAATTTTAGCCTCGCCAGGATACATGGCCACCTGTTCAAATTTTTCTTTTTTAGGATTTCTTTAAAGAGCTGAACATTTTCATAATTAACTCAAGTATGTCTCACAAAGTTAGGATGACCATGCTGGCTGAGCTTTCTAGGAGAGTTTGTGTAATTTTCCTTTTCTTCGGTAAAGGTGATTAGTTAAAGGCCACACAAAATACTTAAATCCAGCTTGATTTTTACTCTTTTGTAGGACTTAATGAAAATGAATCATGATTCAGAAAAAAATTAATCCTTTGTGACCTGGCTATTGTGCACACAGATCATCAATTACCTATATTACACAAGGGGAAGATTAATCCCCTGGCTCCCCTCCTGACTAGCTGGAAATTGAGGGGAAAGTGGCTGCTCAGATAAGGAGGTAATCTATTCCTTAATGGAACAGCAATAGCAAAGCATCTTTTTGTTAAAGAGCAGCCTTGGGTGGGTATCTGGCCCACAATAGCTCCTTCTCTTATTCTCAGCAGGCCCCAAAAGTGCAATTGAAAATAGCATAGGGAGGAGGATGAAGGGAGATACAACGGAGAAAGGGAATTATATATTTTTCTGCATAATAATAAGATGGCCAGACTACTGGAGAGAATGTTGCCTTGAGAATTATGTGGCAGTTAGAAAATGAACTCCTTCCTCCTTAAAGGACTTGTCTATAATAACTCTGATAATTAGTGTTTGTCCTTGGGAGGAATGGTGTATGTGTGTGTGTGTGTGTGTGCGTGCGTGTGTGTGCGCGTGCACGTGTGCATGTGTGTGTGTGTGCATGTGTGTGTGTTCCAGAAGGCTGGCCTGCCGCTCAAGGGTTGGGGTAAGGGAAAGACCTCAGCAGGACCTCTGAAATTTGGAGTTACGAAGCCCTACCTACTGCCGTTTATCTTCTTGACCTTAGAATGTGAAATCTTAGGGTGCCCTCACCCCTTTGTCATAGTTTTAATGAGTGGGATTTGAGGAAACGTACTGCTAGGGGTTGAGGAGGGGATTCAGTAAGAGGAACTGGGTCCCAGAGAGAGAGGAGGGGTTCGCCCCAAGGTTCTCTCCTGAGAAGACAGACAGGCCACTGGGGGAGGCAAGAAGTCTGTGCCTCCCAAGTGCACCTACTGAGGGTTTAAAGCCAAGGTGCTTTGAGTTTTCCCCTTAGTAAATAAAACAAAACAAAAATCATCAACACTTTTACACCTTTGGTGAAATACTCCAGAGAGTAACTTGAGCAGGGAGCAGAGGGGTCTCCAAGCAAGCCTAGGAGATGCCACAGACCCCATGAAGGGGTAGAGCCGGGGAATACCAGGAAATGACAAATCAGGGAGTAACTGAGGGCGCTGAGCTCAGGGAATGAGGAGTGGACATCTCAGGAGGGCTGAGAGGCCCTGACCCACTCTCTCTCCCACTATACTGACCCTTAAACACCACAAGGGTTGGGGCATGGCCCCCACACAGTCAAAAACCCATGTATGACTTCCGATTCCCTAGAAACTTAACTCCTGGTAGCCTCCTGGTCACTGGAAGCCTTACTGATGACATAAACAGTCAATGAACACAAAGTTTATATACTATATGTATTAGGTACTATATTCTTACAATGAAGTAAGCTAGAAGAAACAAAATGTTTCTTCCAGATATCACAAATCTCCCCCCAAAATTTTCCAACATATTCATTAAAGAAAATCTGTGTAAAGTGAACCCATGAAGTTCAAACCCCTCTTGGTCGAGGGTCAACTTGTATGTTAGAGAATGTTGGTCCTACAGTAAAAAAATAAAAAAGAGCCTGTGAAAGTGAGAGCAGATGCTTAAACTACCAATTTCTTACCTTCTTATGCATGATATAGGTTAAAGTATGCAATTTTTCTTAAAATTAAGCCCAAGATTGTAACAAAGCTTAATCCACTATCTACACCTATTTAGATTCAATGCATCCCTGCTGCCACCTCTAGAGAAATACTGGTTGACCCTGGCCTTGAGAACCAGTCCTCTTCTCCCTGAAGCTCTAACATGTAGACATTTCTACTGGAAGGATGGAAGTCCAGACAAAGGGGCTAGTATTGGTGTAAAAAGTATACTCAGCATTAGATTCCAGGACAAAAAATTACCCTTAAATTGGACAATGAGCTTTATGGTATTTGTTAATTCAATGAATTTTTAAGCCCTACTTAATATGTTAGAAGCTGTGTTAGATAAACATGACACCACTCCCTGTTATGAGGAGGTCAGGACCAGGAGAATCAGAGAAGGCAGCAGAAAATAAAAGGCAAGTACTATCATCAAGGAAATAGAATCTCCTACTGGACTCACACCCTCCCAAATTGTAAGGTAAAGAGACGATTAATGTCAGTGAAGCCTATTTATGTGGACTCTCACGTTCAAGCCTTTCTCATGCTTGGCCTGCCCTTCTGCATACTTCTCATCTAATCCAGTCTTCCCAGAATCTGTCTCTATGGTTCAGTCTAATCATCACGTCCCAGAGATGGGAGTGAGGCTTCTCCTGCCCTCTGTGGCCTGCAGAAGTGAGCCTTGGGGTCTCCTATGTGTCCTGTACATACTTCTTTTATAACAGAACATGAATTACTGCATTTATTTATTTTCATATGCAATCCCCTAATGAGCCTACAAAACTCCTTCAAGGCCAAGGAAATCATCTCGTTCATAGTGAAGCCCCAGCCCTGGGCAGACCCACAGGTGTTAACTGATGAGTGGGTGTGTGGGATTAAGAATTCACATGACATGAAAGTGAAAAGAGAGACCTAGAATGCAAGGAGGTCAACTGTCAACAGAAATATTTCAGACTGACAAGAAGATGGCTAGAAAAAGAAACAGAGGTATCAATAATTTAAAAACTGACTTTGAGGAGTCAGGTAGGAGAACATTTTCCTAAAATTTATGTTGATTTCATCACAGTTAATATATATTCCTTGATTTCTGCTTTCCTTGGCAATCTCTCTCATAGCACCATCTGGAAAATCGAAGAATCACTGAAGAGAACCAATTGTTATGCAAGAAAAGAACATGGACTTTGTAGAAGAGGGACCAAGAAAGCAGGTATCTGACAAGAGAGCAGCTGTTAGGCCCTGAGAACTTAGGCAGCCCAAGGCCAGCAGGACATACTTATGGGATAGTTTACTAAAGAAGACAGTATCTCACATACAATTGTAAATATCACCAACTCTACTTTAATAACACTGGTGGAGACACAACTCCCTAGAAAGAATCTCAGTATTAAACCAAGTGCATGCAAAATGCTAGAAATTATGAATCCTTGGCTATCTAAATCCCAAATCAATGACTCCTTGCAACTACAGATCATATCTTTACTGGAGTCTCCCAGTGTATTCAGAGAAATGTTGATTTATGGCTCAGGGCAGAAATTCCATAAAGTCTGATGCACTGACCTCAGTGAATATATTTAAAGTTTCTGGCTTAAAGAATTGAGAACAGGCCCCAAACTACCAAGTAAACAATGGGAAATGTAAAGTATCTTAAAATATGGGTTTCAAACTGGAGGCAAAAATTCAGTCTGATTTTTCCAATCCAGTGGTCACATTGCTGAAAGAAAAATAAAAGTTTATGGAGTGTCCTAAGGCTGCTTTAGTCAAAGCATTTTGAAAAGTTAGGAAGTTTTCATAAAAATTCACTGAAGGTGAAAAATGTTGGCTGACTGTGTCCAGAAATCTAGTCCTGAAAGTCCTTTTTCCTTGTTCATAAATTTTTTTAACTTAATTCAGATAACTGCCTTCTTTCTCCTTTACTTTCAGAGAATTAAAAAGAGCCTAAGAAAGAGGCTCTCACTTCCAGAATGTTGGAATGAGAAATTCTATGAAACTATGCCCCAGTGGAATAGCCATAACTAGTGAAAATTATTTTTTTATAAAAGCAAAAATTCTTTGAAGTCTCTAGAAATTATACTAGAATCAGAGAAGGCAGCAAATTTGCAAACAGCAAATTAAGAGATATTTATTTGAGAAAAATGTATTAACTCTCAGTAAGAACAGAGGGAGTCTATAGCACTTCAGAAACAACCCCTCTCTCTCTTTCCCAGCCCCTCAACTCATCCTTGTTGGGTGTGGTCAAGAAAATAGGACCTCCTCTCCTGGCAACTCCTGGTTAAGGGATATAAGGAAGGGCAGGCCACCAGTGTACTCACATCCCCTCTAGCTCCAAGAGGCAGAAGCTAAATAACTAAAAATGTAGTCAAGAGATGAGGTACTATCTTCTTCCACCCACCCTCATTCATAGGACAGAAGCTCTATCCCAGGTACAGCAGGTCAAGAATATTAGGATTCTGATTGCCCTTGACCCACCTCACTTGTAGGACAGAAGTGCCCTGCCAAGAGAGCTGAACCGAGAAGACCAGAGAATGACACCTCTGCCCAGCTAATAAAAGAGGGCTGTCACTCAGGTATGTAGTCACTATCTCTGTTTCACCCTCTGGAGCAGTGGCTCAGCAATTTCCCCATAAGAACAAAGGGGAAAGGGGAGTCCATAAGAACAGAAAGCACCTAAATTCTCCCTAATGGTGCTCTCCAAAACATTGGAGATTTGGGTGGTAAGCAATTAAAAGAT